TTCACACTTCCGACGCAGACCTAAGAGATATTAACATAGTTGAATCCATAAATTAGTCAAGACAGGTTGATATAATGTAAGTTGTTTGCGGTAGCAGAGGTGGCGAAGTGACGACTTCTCTATTTATTTCTACTACTGAGAACCGAAGAAACAAGTGATGGAAGAGATTTGGGAGATTTAGTGGAAGAGACTTGGGTGATTTAGTAGAGGAGATTCAGGGTTTACAGGATCTGATTAATTTAGTGGAGGAAATTTGGGTTTTTGGTGGAAGTTTTTTTCCTTCCCCAGGTTTGACTTGGTCGAAATTTGCGGGAAAATGGGTTTTGACAATGAACTTTGGTGTTTTGGGTGGAAAGAATTCGCCTCAGCCAAATTTGAGTTCTTTTTTTTTTAATCTTAATCCTTGACAATTAAAATAATAGTCAAGGAATGAATTTCATTTTTCCAAAATCCTTGACAGTTGATAGTCAAGGAATGAAATAGAACAACTTAATTTTTACAAAATCCTTGACAGTTAATAACAGCCAAGGATTTTCTAAAACCCAAGGATTTTCTAAAACAGTCAAGGATTGTCTCAAATCCTTAACAATTGAAAAACGGTAAAGAAGTTGTCAAAGAAAAGACTTCTTCACTATTTTTAAAAGCAATCAAGAAATTCTTTCAAATTTTCTATCAAGAGAGGATTTTTTCCTTGCCGTGCTATGTCTTTGGAAAATTTACCATTAAGAAGGGGTTACCTCCTTGCAAGTGTGAAAGCTACATTTGGTTACTGTCTGAGAGTATTTGCCCATTAAATCTCATATGCTATGAAAAATAATTCAAAAATTTTGAGATTATGTTCAAGAAATTAAAAGAAAGAAAAGTGAAAAAGGGCATAAGGGAAAGGGGAGTTTTCTCTTTGACTGCTTGACCAATGTGTCATAAATTCCCCTTTGAGGACACAACACACACATCTAATAAAGAATCTTTGTTTTTTACTCATGTATGATCTAAGGTTATAAATCTTTAATTGTTGAATTACATGGGATGAGATCCTCTTTGTGTATTTTTTGAATCTCTTATTGATCTCCTGATGTCTTTTTACCTTATTTTTGTTCAAAATGGAATAAATGATTAAAGTCTGCAATTTTTGTGCCAATGTCACCACTTTGAGAGAGCGTGTAGCCACATGAGTTCTCTTAAGTTCATTATCTATGAATTCTCTTTTGCATGTGCTGACTTGATTCGTCATTGTCACGACACTTCACCTGTTGTCCAATATGCTTACATAATTGTATGAATGACATCACATGAATGTTGTTCATTTTGATTCATAATTATCTCTTGTCATGTGTCATCACACCTAAATTGAAGGTCGTCATTTTGATTTTGGTTTTGCTGGTGTGCTCACATTGAGTTTGTGTGTGCTCACATTGATTTTAAGTGTCCATACACTGTTAAAACTCCTAATGTTTCTAAGCTCATCTTTGAAAGAAAAGTATCAAGCAGTGTTTGCAAAGAAAAGGGTTAGACTTCACCAAGATTCTTCTAAAGCTTAAACCGAGTCTTCTTCTTTGTCATTCGATCATGAAGAATCATTGTCTGACTCTCAAAATGTGACATCTTCGTCGCCTGAAGAGTCTCTATTAAAGAAGCTCATGTCTTCCAAGTCTCCAAATCAAAGTCCAAAGCTTCTAAATCAAAGTTACCTGAAGGAAAGAAGAATTCAAAATCGAGTGAAAAGTCTTCAGCTAGTAAAAAACATCTAACCTTTGTCTCCTCTAAAGCCTTTTCTCACTTTAAGAAATATGTTTCTTAGAGCCCCATCATCTGTGAAACTCATTTGAAACTGGATGATTTTTCTAAAGTTTCGTCCATATTGTTGAATAGAACTTAGGTTCTTTTTTATGCTGATGTTGTTAGCAATGTGCTTGAGTTACCTCTTGTAGAAAATCCACAGTTTGACGGTTTTAAATCTGGATATTATGGTGTTTACACTAACTGGAGGTCCAGCAAACACTAAAAGGTTTGCCAAACATTATGAACAAAGAGGAGGAGTGAAATTGCTGAAGGATTTGCTGAGAGTTACTCTACTCTGTTTTGCTTGGATGTTGGTGATATTGCTTTAAAGAGTAGTTGATGGTGTGATGATATGAATTGTTGATGTGATCACGCTGATTTTTTTTTTTTTAATTTCTATTGTTGATTTTTTTGGCCTAAGCTGAACTGATTTTCTCTTTTGTTTGTTTACTTGAACTGTGATCTAATCAGTCTATGTTTCTTGTGTTTTAATATGTTTATGAACATATTTTTTATTATAAGTTCTGATGAAGCTTATTTTTGTGTTTGTTGATGTAGAGATCCATGCAGCAAACCTTTTTATTGTTTGTCTTACATTTTCTTATTTTTGTTTGGCTCTGATATTGGGAACTGAACTAACCCTTGTATACTCCTAATTGTTTATCTTTTGTATGTGAGTTGGTGCATTTACTTAGGGGGAGTTTACATTTTGAGGGGAGTTATTCAGTTATGATCTTGTATGACTTAGTGCAAATTGTGTGTTGGTGAAAATGTTAAGTTTTTGCTTAAGTCATTGTGGTTTGTGCAATGAATTTCTCTTTAAGTTGCTATTTTGTAAAAACTGCATTTTTGTTTAAGTTGTTACTTGCTGATGTTGTTCTTTCATGTGCAGAGAACAAATTATGTTATTTGTTTGTTTTTAAACTATACTAACCCTCTTTTTGCTCTAAATTGATCATCACTTAATGTGACTTGGTTTAGTTACTCAGGGGGAGTATACTAATTGAGGGGGAGCAATTTAGTTAATTTTTTTTTTTTTTAATCTTGCAAAACTTTTTTATTGAACTGATACTGATTATGTTTTGCTTATTGTCTTTGTTTCGTTCATGTCTCTATGTCTTGATGATTATGCCTTTAATGAGATATGTTTTTGTGTTGTTTCTGTTTCTGTCTCTTTTTGATTGATTGTTGGTATTTTGAGACAAGTTTGTAATTGAAAAGATTGTGCTTTGTTCATAAGTTTGACAAAGGGGGAAACTGTAAGTTATTTGTCAACTTATGATTCTAGTGTGGTAACATTAGTTATGGTATGAACACTTCACTTTGAATATCGCACAACCATTTCTGTTTAAATTTTCTGTGTGATAACTCTCTGTCGAAGTGACCACTTTCAATTAAGTCAGTTTTCTGTTATATCGTGTGGGCACTTCAGAGTCTGAGTGGTCACACGCATCTGACAGATATTTTGCATAACATGTATTGCATTTTGATATTCCGTGAACTATTTTCATTCTCTTTTGAGATATTGTTTATGGTCCATGACACTAGTCATTTATTCATACAATGTGCTGGAAAGCTTTTTGCAATTGTCGGTGGTCCTAACAAAGATTGGAATAAACTTTTTCATAAAGGTAAAACCATAAAGCATCATGTTGTTCACCTGTCCCCTTGCATTGGAGCCCAAGTTTTCTATATATTCTTCTCCAATGCAACTCTTTTTAAGCCTGAATATATCTCTGATATTAGTTTGAAAATTCGTTGAGGTTTCTTTGTTTTGAATTAGGTTTCATATGCCTTAGGTAGGCTTACAAATACCTTGGATAAACTTTGTTTATTTGTTCATGGCTGGAATGTGAGTTTCCATTGGTGATGCTTGATGGGATTTCAAGCTTTTGGAGCTGAAGTGCATCTTCGGTGTTGTACCTTGAGAGGAGCTAAAGGCTAACCAAGTGGTCTCGTGAACGTAAAACTTATTGTGGTAGTTTGAAGTTCGACCAAAGGGTGGAGTTTGAAGCGTTGCAAAACATGGAGTATTCTTGCAACTGATGCTTAACTTTGACTTTGTAATTGAACTATAAATATTTACTATAGTGGATTGGCTTCATCTAGACTTGATCCTATGGAAGTAGGCATTTTGCTGAATCATGTAAAATCCTCTAGTGTGCTTTATTTTGGTTCATGAATGTTTAGTTTGTAAAGGTGATGAATTGACACTACAATCAACTTAACAATCCATTCCACTTAGGTTTAATCTAATTGGTAAAGTATCTAAACTTTCAAATACTTAAACCAGGAGTATTCAATACTGTAACAAAAACTAATAAAAGCAAGCAACTCATCAATTTTGTGTAATTTTACAGATAGTCATCGCACGAATTCAAATATCAAAATATAAAGCATTAAACCGTGTAAGTTGGCTTCATTACCTTCAACATAAATGTACGTTTCTCTTTTGATATGTGTTGAGGATTTTTGCTCGTTTCCCTCTTTTGACTTTTTGTACTATTTGAGTTTATGTTTCTTTTAGGACAACTTGTCAGAATATGAATACAATTATGCAAGAAATAAGAATATAATTCCTACAAGGATTAGAAAGATATTTCCGATCAGGAGTTGTTAGCTCATTGGAGAGAGAATTATATGACGGCGTTACAAAATTTATCACCAATTTGGGGCTTGTCTTTAGAGACTTCTAATAGGTATTAAGATACCGTTCATTTGGGTTCACATTATGTGTTATACTCTTGTATTTTTGTGGTAATAGTTTATTCTTCAGTCATCTATGGATGTAGGCTTTAAAATGAACAAATTGATATTTGATATATACACTTCCGCAAAATTCACAACAATATGGAGATACTATCTTTTAATTTTTTGTATGCTATTTGAAAGTGGTTGAGAATATTATTTTAAAATGGTCAGCTACCTCTATGTACTCTCCTTTTGTATGCATTTCATTCATGCTCAAATAGCCCAGGCTTAATATATGTATGTAGAAGCAAGAAACTAGAGTTCCAAGTAGAATGCGGGAAATTTTTATGAAGCAACCTCAGATAAATTATGCTTTTATTTATTATCCCGTATGCAAATTCTCACATTTTTATTTACTACAGAGTATAGTGAGAAGCTACGAGTACAACATGAGACGCATGCCAACTAAATTATTTAGTATCTAGAAACTTTTAGTTTTGCATATGTCTCGCTGTTGATCATCCTCATTCTTAGTTCCGGCGCACTGGGCGAATGACGATCTTATCGACAACCAGCCCACTCTTCCATTGGGATTCGTGTTCAAACATCGAGATTTCCATATCCCCAGTCATATTGCAAGATGTAAGGAACTCACCAATTCGGACCTCTGACCATTTGTTCTTGGGCAACTTACTCAAATCTTCTTTGCGTTCAATTGTCTCATGGTAATTGGGGATGACGAGTTTCAAGTTCACCGGATGATTTGCAAATCCACATTCTCCATTCTTCATCATTAAAACAAACGAAACTTGGTAAACTATCCCTGGAGTAAGGTTTTTGGCAGGGAATTTCTTGCTTACGTCAAGCCAACAGACATTCAATAGTTCAGCCACCTCCACTTGAACACAACTGCAAAAACATAATTTATTTGATAAATTAATCTTCATTGACTATAAATAAGGTAGAAAACCAATATTTATATATGTGATATATAAATACCGTTGTGTGTCTGGCTTGTAAGTCCAATTCCAGTAACGTTTGTCATCTCCCCAAGTGATTGAGAGACCCCTTGCATGAATGTCGAAGGCGTTGGCACATAAAAGCCTGTCAACCCAAAACTTCTGCAGTAAAACATTAATTAAGTATTAGTATTGAAAATAATTGGTGCAAAATTATAATAAAAACAACAATGAAGATGTTACTTGCCAGTTTGTTTTGGTTCAAGAAGATTCCACCCTGGAGCTGTTCAATCAGATTGTCGCAGGAGGCGTCAATCTGGGAGTCTCCTTCTTTAAGAATGGCATGGAGGTTGTGTGGGAGTTGAACTTGAGCTGAAGCCATCTCGTAATCACTCTTCTCTTTAATTCCAAGTAACTCTTACTGATGATTCTTGTTGCCCATGGAGACCTAGAATTTATAGGATGAGATGGTCTAATTGATTACGTTTATATCATTATCATACAAAAAGATTTATTCTATGATAAGACATACATTACATTATTCCTTCTACAAAATGTGGATTTATTTTTTTTTTCCTTTTCATGAGAATCTTGGTCCGCTATCTTATTTCAAAAGGATAATTGAGATTCACTTCCCTCCCACCACTAGATAACATGATCTATACACCGTCCAATATTGCCTCTATATATGTCTACAATCAAAACTTCCCGAAATATTTATGTATAAGTATGGTTTTATGAAAACTCTTAAGTTTTCCACATAATAGCAAATTTGCCATCGTTTAACTCTATATTAATTTTTTGCTAATTATTAAAAATTATTAGCAACAGTTTCCACTGTTTAAGGACGTAATAATAGATGCCACATTTAGAGATAAGAAATTTCCACCTCTCAACTTTCAAAGATATTATGAAAGGATCTTTGTTTACAACTACTTTCTTAATGGTCAAACGCCTGATTTTTGTTTTTTGCTAATGTAGCGAGATTTATTACGGATGGATTAATTGACTATGAAGGATTTGTGCTACACCAAGTCCATAAAAAATTACTTTTAACATATTTAATGATTTAATTTGTTTTTTTTCCATTAATCTTGTTAAAAAAAAAAAAAAATCGAACCAAAAAGTTAGAGAAGAAAAAAATAAAGATACTATGACATTATGGTACCAAGAAAGATTCTTTCTATAAATTATAATGTGCTATGAGTCGTCCATTTGGAATTTCAGAATAAAAAATCCAAATTCAGAATTGCAAAAGTACTTTTAGTTTATCGCGGAAACTATTATTCGAATATCCAAACCAAAAGTGATTGTCTGTATCATAAATTTTTCTATATTATTTCTTTATTCCTTCTCCAAGAAAGGATTCACAATCCTTAGAATAAGCATCTTAATGTTCTTATCCAAGAGGATAAATTGCGTTCTCAAAAAATGATCCGTCACATATAAGCGTCGACAAGGTTATCTATTGGAAGAATTTTCGGCTTCTCAAGTCAAGTCGTTGAAATGGCTTAAAGTACTGAGTAAACAAGGCTCGAACCAAGCTGATCAACATATTAATTCCTTGTTAATCACACTGATTAAATACTATACAATCAAATTATACTGCTAGTAATCATTAGATTAGAATATTCCACAACCGTCCTTGCTTGTCTCACTTCTGACCTCCAAAAGTATTTTTGTCAACTTATAAAATTGTTTGGGCACATTACGTTTTGATGTTTGCACATCATATTGTTTAAGCACAATCGTTTTTGTAGCTTTCAATTGTCATGATACTCTGTGTTGGTATGTGCACACTTAGTTAGTCTGTTTTTATTGTACAACATGTGGGCACATTAGAGTCTAGTGTGCAAACAGTCGTCCAGTTAGACTTTCATACAAATGTTGTGTTTGCATTTGTTGCTAGGATATTTTTCTAGACCTGAGATATGTGTAAGTGGTCCGTATACAGATGTTAATATCTTAGATGAGGTGCTGGAAATCCATTTAAATTTTTAGAAGTGGTCTAAAGAAAGTGGTTGAAAACTTTCGAAAAATAGTTGAACATTGTAAGAGATTGTTGGCCGGTTGTCTAATGGATTGTTGAGCAAGTTTTTTCTATGTTCTTCATCAACCTTGCATTATGCTTTGAACCTGAAGATTCTTCTTATTGTTCTCTTAAAGTCCTCTGAGGTTGATTTCATATTTGGTCAGGTTCCCTTATGCTTTAGTAAGCTTTAAAATACCATGTTAACCTTTGTTGTTGGAACATGCCTGGTTCCATTGATGAAAAGCTTGATGGGATTTCAAGCTGTGGAGCTTAAGTGCACCTTTGGTGTTGAAGCTTGAGTAGAGCTCGAGCTATCCAAGGTGTGTCTTGGATTCAAGCAAGTTGTGGCAAGACGGTGGATCATCCAAAGGAAGGAGTTAGAGCTTTGTAAAAATAGGGAGTGTTTTACATTAGTTTGCTTGGCTACAACTTTGTAATGAACCTTGAATGTTTGATATAGTGGATTTGCTACATTTACATGTGGTCCCATGGATGTAGGGAATTGGATGAACCATGTAAAAACCATTTGTGTGCTTTACTCTATGTCTTGGATGTTTAGGAATGTGTTGATGAGGAATGGACAAGCTCACAGGCACAAACAAACATGATTAATTTATTCCGTAGAAGTTTAATGAACTTGGTTAAGTCATAAACTTTCATATGGTATCAAAACACGTTTTGAAAAGTCATTTGATCAATAGATCCTTGCTTGTTGTTTGTGCTTGAGTGTTGTTTTTAGGTCTGCTGCTTTTTGTGTATTATTGTGTGATTTTGAGTAGTTTTTCTCGCTACAGCGTACTTTCTACTTGGCCTTTCCATGTTTCAATTGTGACACATTCCTCCCTCAAAGGTTCCAAATCCTTTCACTTTGCATCCTAAATTATGATTAAAAATTCTTAGTAAAACTTTTCAAAAATACGGGGGTATCACATGTTTTGCACTCAACAAAATAGGTTCAACCTTCAACACTCCTCATTGAACCCTTTTGGTGCCCATTCCAAACAAATTCTTTAGCATTTCAAATCTTGAATTTGGCAAAGTTTTTGTGAAAATATCCGCCACTTGAAATTCGGAGCTACAAAACTCCATTTTGATCTATCTCAATTTCTCCGCTTCTTGAACTACATAATTCTTGATGTTCATATGCTTTGTTCTTCCATATTGGACTAGATATTCCACAATAGAAATAACAAATTTAGTCGCAAGCAATCACTGTTGCTTCCATTTGTTCTTCTTCTAAGTCTTTCATCAGTTTCTGAATCCACATTCCTTGATTGCTGGCAGTTGCTATAGCAACATATTCAACTTTTGGTGTGGTTTGAGCCACAACTTCTTGTTTCCTCGAACTCTAACAAAATTGCTAGACCCTTTTGTGTTTTGATGTGCCAAAACTAGCAAATAATTGTATAAGGACTAAAAAAACTCTTAAGGCATGACATAAGTCATGACCAAAAAGCAAAATGCAAGATTTAATCTCAGAACGTCGTTCCCACCTCTAGGCAAGTCATCCCTCATATCCTCACATCGTCCTCTAGAACACTCTTTGGTATTTTGATGATAACTTTGGCTTGACAAATCTAAATCAAGTCATTTCTATGACATTGGAATGAAGTTCACCCAGATTAGCCAGGATCAAGGAGAAAATCAAGATACAAGTTTACAGTCTGGCATAATTAACATCCAGAACTATCTTTCGGTATTTTGGAGATACCTTTGTCTAAAAGCTCCAAATTTTGTGATTCTTTCGGCATTGTAAGGATAACTTAAATTTATAAAAAGTTTATGTTTATCACTTTGCCAACATCATCTGGATTCGAGGATAAAATCATGATATGAGTTGATAGTTTGGTAGAATCAAGATCTATAACATCTCTTCGGTATTTCGAGGATAACCTTTGCTACAAATATCATAATTACATGATTATTGCAGCGTCGAAAAGATAATTTAGAGGACTAAATTTTTCATGTGATCACCTCTGCCAAATCAGGAGGAACTCCTGTTCCAAGAGAATGAATGACTGTTCTTTTATCCTTAAGATGTTCTAGGCATGAATAGCCATATTCCATAAAGTCGTTCATGGTTTTCCCAAATTTTGGGAAATTTGAGATTCATAGTGGAATGGCTGTTCACCAAGTCCCCAGGTCGTTCCATGGATGAAGAACACCGTTCCAGCAAGCCATTCATCATTTTGGAAAATCTAGATAGGTTGCAAAGATTGGGCCATAACTTTCTCTAGACAACTCTATATTCAGCTCTGAAAAATTTGTAAGAAACTGACTAAAATATATTTCCAATGATATATGGTGTGCACATATCAAAAGAAATGAACGCCCATTACTAACAAAAGAATGGTTGTTACCAGACCAAGATTTTAAATTTTATGATCGTTGGAGTCATGAACGATCGTTCGGGGCACTGGAACGCCCGTTCCTCCTACTTTTGCAAGTTGCAACTTTTCCCTAACGGATATAAACGAGTCTTTTTTCATATCAGAGTATAATATCTCACTTTAAAGATGAAAGAACTAGGGAAGAAGTGCAACAAACAAGTCCTACATTTTTCAAATATCAAAATACACTTTGAGCTATAATTCTACATCTTCTCACCACTCTCCAAGATCCTTATTCAATATCCTTAGAGAGAAATTTCTGTAACATTTGTGTATCAGCCTAGAGTGGAGGCAAAAGCCCACATAAACATTTTGAATTCATTTTATCTTAAGTGAAATCCTATAAAACTAGAGGCGAAACCCTGTCAAACCATTGTAACTTGACGTAATCCGATTCTAGTGGAACCTTGAGGATGTTGTCTTCAGGAAGATTACTCAAAATTCTCATAGGAAGATGAAATTAATGATATGATTGCCCCTGTTGAGGTACCACAGATCATGATGATGTGCCCACCATGACTCTTTTTGGAACTAAATCCCAAGCTGAGGTGACCACACTAGAACCTTATGTGAGCACCACTGTTGCTCAATAGGGATCAGTCTCCCAAAGACAAGGACTTGAATTAATTGTTGATCTTTCTAATGAGATCACTCAAAGAAAGACATCCACAAGGAAAGAACCACCCTCATGGATCAAGAAAGGTCATCCGCCTTCAAATGTGATTGGAAATCCAGATGAGGTAATGGTTACAAAAGGAAAAATGATGAATTAACTTAACAACTGGTGTTATGTTTCTTTTGCAGAACTCAAAATTGCTGATTGGGACGAGAACATTGATGATAGAAAGAGTACTTTAGAAGTATGTTTTAACCTTGGAAAAAACTTGGTGCCATGGTATAGCAAGAAGCAAAATTCAATCTCCTTATCCACTGCTGAAGCAGGGTACATTGTAGCTGGGAGTTACTGCACTCATGTTTTGTGTGGCATAAACAAACTTTGAGTGATTATGGTC